GTGTAGATGACCGAGGGGACGCAGTTGTAGTCTATGTGCACGGCGCCCCCTGCCATGCCCTCCACGCAGATGATTCCCTCGTCCTCCGCCTTGTGGGCCAGCATGGGGCCGGCCACCACGTCCCCGATGGCGTAAATGCTAATGGGGAGAAAAGCAGAGGTTCATAGACATCCACATCTACAGGGTCTACTCCCAGAATTCAGCCAAAAATCATTTGAACTCCGGGTTTTTTCGATCTGAAAACCCTAAAAAAAACAGCGTCCCGTCCCTTTAAAAGGGACGTATTATGCAAAACTAAGATATTAACTCATTGGCTGCCAAAGACGTCTATAGACGTCTTTTATGTTTTTCAACGAGAGTGGCTGGGGGACGATCTGCTAAAGCTTGTCCGTAAATATCAGGCTTCTAGACAGAGTATGTAGTAACAAATTGACCCTCTAGGTGGCAGTGCCACTTTTGATGGGAGATGAGCATAGACTGTAGGCAAATAAGAAAATAATATTTTTAATAATATTCCAGCCTTTCACGTGCATGTTGCCCCCACCTCAGCTTACTCCCCTATCTGTGGCAGACGTTGTGGTAGCGACTTGAGTGAACTGGACTGGACTAGACTGGACTGAACTTAACGTAACGTAACGTAACGTAACGTAACGTAACGTAACGTAACGTAACGTAACGTAACGTAACTTGACTGGTCTGGACTGGTCTGGACTGGACTGGACTGGACTGGACTAAACTGGACTGGACTGAACTTAACTCAACTGGACCAAACTGGACTGGCCTGGACCGGTACCTGGGCACTTTGGTCTGGACTGAACTGGACTAAACTGGACTGGACTGAACTAAACTAAAATAAACTGGACTGGACTTAACTGGACTGAACTAAACTAAACTAAACTAAACTGTCTGTTGGTGTAGATCGGTAGAGCGTCCTGTACTTAACTAGACCGGACTAGACTGGACTGGTCCGGTACCTGGGCACTTTGGTCTGGACTAAACTGGTCTGGACTTGACTGGACCGGACTAAACTGGTCTGAGCTGGACTG